AATTAAATTTAAAAAATTGGTGACCATTGGATCAGCTGAGATTTAATCTCAGCCGTCCATTATGCATTAGGTTGGAGGTTATCATTCTCTTTTCTTTCATTCACTTGATCTCTCCAGTCCAGACTTACACCTGCGCCGTCTCCTTAATTCGCCTCTCTCTCTCATCCTCCTCCATTCACTTCCTTCAACTTGACTTCGGCAGCCACAAGAAAACCACACACAGGCAACAAGCACACCCTAAAAGTATGAATTTTGTATTTTGGGTATTCTATGTTTTTTTCAAAAACTAGTGATTTGGGGTTTTTGTTAAAATTAAAACCAATGGCTGGGGATTTTCTGATTTTGGAGTTTCTGGGTTGGGGCATGTTTGCAAACGTTCAAAAAACCCAACGATCATGCAAGCGTGCTTCGCGTTGGCTTCGTAAGCTTGAAAATCACAAAAGGACGAGGTAGAAATAGAATCCAGCATTGAAATTTAGGAGTATAGATGTACTTATGTAAATTAACTTTATTATGTCACACCATTTAGTCGTATTGTAAGCCGTATTCATTACTTAATGTTATATATATTGGGAATATGTTATCAAGGGATTGGGGAGGTTATATTTTATATATATTGGGGATATGTTATCAGGGGACTGGGGAGGTTAGAATTCAGGTGGCATGTGAGGCAGACAATGACAGAGTAGTGATGCCCGACCTATTTTTGTTTTGCTGTAGTAGATGTAATGTCTTAATTATTTGTATGGAATTATTTGTCCCAAGTATTGGCAATTGGCAGGCAGGTCTTTTTTTTTTTAAGGAAAACTAATGAAAAGGGCTTGAAAACTTTGAGTTTTAACGATAAGGACAAAATAAAAGGTAAAGTGAATAGTATCAGGTTCGACTTTTTAGTGTAAAAATGTGGTTTTTCATTAAAGTGAACAGTACCGTGGGCTTTTCGTTAAAACTCCTTTTTTTTTTATTGTGAACGTCGCGGTTCATTTGTATCTATGTTTCATTTGGGGTCTATTTACTTAAAGTTAATAAGTTGGGTCTATATTTGTTTTCTCGATTTGGAGATTTGGAACAAGCAAAGCAATTAAGCAAGGCTGCAATCTGCAAGTGCAGGGTATTTTTAATTGAATTGTGATTTGAAAGTAGATTTAAATTGAATTGTGATTTGTGGATATGTGAATTAGATTTTGAAATTGAATTGGATATGTGAATTTGAAATGGATATAGATAGGTGAAATTGAATTGGATATGTGAAATTGAAATGGATATGTGAACTTGAAATTGAAATTGAAATGGATATGTGAATTTGAATGGATATTGATATGTGAAATTGAAATTGAAATGGATATGGTATGAAATTGGTATGAGCAAGATTTTACAGTTTTGTTTTTCTTTCTTCAAGCAATGGATGCTGTAGAGCAAGATTTTACGAACCTTAGTGATGGAGGGTCAGTGGAAGTTATAATGGGAATAGAAACTGATCATGGAAGTGAAAATACAGAACATACAAATACAAGTCCGGCAAAGAAAAAGGCTAGAGTGATCAAATTAGGTAAGCGAATACTCATGTCTCCTATTTGGAAAACTTTCAACAAAGTGACTACTATTTTTGAAGATGGTAAAGGTCGTGCTCAATGTAAAGATTGTAAGAAACTGATAATAGATGATAGTCATCATGGGATGGGTAATATGAATAGACATTTAAAAACATGCCTTGGACTGACTGGTGAATTATTGTCAGTGTTTGAATTTTGTTCCCAAAACTTTGATCCTGTGGTATTCCGTGGCTTATTGGTAGAGGCCATAATCAAGCATAATCTTCCTTTTAGTTTTTCTGAATATGAGGGAATTAGGGCTTTGTTTAGATATATATCTCCTGATATTAAGTTACCTTGTAGAAATACAATTAAAAGCCTTTGTGTTGAGGATGTTCAAAATGAAAAACAAAAGCTTCATAATTTGTTTGGCTCAATTGAAGGTAGAATTTGTTTGACATCAGACTTATGGACCTGGCAATGCACTTATGGGTATCTTACTCTTACTGCTCACTTTGTAGACAAAGATTGAAAATTGCATAAAAGAATTTTAAGTTTTTGTCATATGCCTCCTCCGCATACTAGTGTTGCATTATTTGAGAAAATTAATGCATTGGTGACTGAGAAGAATTTATTTCCATTACTTTGGATAATGCTTCTTCAAATATTTCTTTTGTTAGCATTTTGAAGAATCAATTGAATCTTAAAAGTCTTCTCGTGATGAATGGTGACTTCTTTCATATGCGTTGTTGTGCTCATATTTTGAATTTGATAGTTCAAGATGGACTTAAAAAAATTGATTCTTCGGTGATAAAGATTCGTGAATCCATCAGTATACAAAGGGCTCTGAGGCTAGGAAACTAAAGTTTTATTAATGCGTTAGACAAGTAGGGATATTGGATAGTAGGAGAGGTTTGAGATAAAATGTCCCTACTATATGGAACTCAACTTATATTATGCTAGATAGTGCAATTTTCTCTCGATATGCTTTAATTCATTTAGGGTTGAGCGATTCCAATTTTAGTAATTGTCTTTCTTCTGAAGAGTGAGATAAAACAATGAAGATTTCCAAGTTTTTGGGTTACTTTTATATGGTTATATGCTTATTCTCTGGGACAAAGTACACCACATCAAATTTGTTTTTCCCTAAGGTGTTTGTAATTCAACTTCAAATTAAGGCAGCTATGGATGACTCTGAAAGTTTCATGAATAAGATGAGGACTTACATGTACACGAAGTTTGAGAAGTATTGGTCAGAGTACAGTTTGATTTTGGCAAAGCTTCATGGTGTGAATTCGATTGAATTTACAAAGGTTAATGATAAATTGAATGTTCTTTTTGGTGTGTACTTGGAAACTTTCTCATCTTGATAATTCAATTACTCCAGTGAATTTAGTGCCTAATCATCAAACAGAATCTGGAGATGTTCTCTTTGAGGTAACCTAAAATTGTTTTTATTTACTTTATATATTTGCAGTAGTAGTAGTACTATAAAAAGTGTTGATATTGTATTTGAAATTGACATGATGCATGATTCTTATTACGTTTTCGTTTTTATTTTTTATGATATAGGATTTTGATAATATTACGATGGTTCAAGTTCAATTGAAAAAAATGAATTGCCGAAGTATTTGGAGGATAAAAGAATAGATAGAAAAGTAGACATATATGTTCTTTCTTGGTGGCAAATTGAGCGTTTTCATTATCCGATACTTTCTCAGTTAGCACGAAATATGTTAATAATTCCCATTTCAACTGTTGCATCAGAATTTACATTTAGTATTGGCGGTAGAGTACTAGATCAGTATCGTAGTTCTTTGTTACCAAAAACAGTTCAAGTTTTGTTGTGTACACGAGATTGACTATTTGAAAAAGGAGGTAATATATTTTTATATGGTATAATACTATTGTTTTATTTTTTTTCATAATTATTTTGGTAAACTTCTCATAATTTGAATGATTTTTAATTTTTGGTTTTTCTATACTTAGTTTATGCGGAAGAGAGTTCTGGCGTGGAAAATCTTATTGAAAACATCATCAACATAACTCTTGAAGGCAATAGATCAAGTCAAAGTTTCAAAACAATTTCCTCATGATGATCGATGAAAATTGAGGATTTTATAAAAGGAATAACATGCAAGCTTTGAGTTCCATTAACAAGGTTTAAACTTTTGAGAAAGGCTTTACAACTTTGAAAACAAAAACTCTTTCATTTTGCATATCCTTGCACATTTAATATTTTGTAATAGATTAGTAGTGTATGAATGTTATTTTATTAGGCTCTTATTTTCGAGTGTAGATGTAGTACTTAAACGACAAATGTGTTTTAATGTTTTGATGTAATATTTATGTGACAATCCATTAAGATAATAAGTGTTACACGAAAACGACACAAACGTGATAGACACAACCTGTTTGCCAGGCCTAATTGGAAGTGTGTCTTTAGCCCATCTCTCTGATAATTCAACAATATCTTATGCTGGATATTCTCCCGATTTAATACAGATTCAATATCCTAAAATGACTCTTTTGTGACTAATATAAATACACCACGTAGGCCATGTCAATTGTAAGACATGCTTTGCTCTCTTGCTCAATGCTTAAATTCTAAGATGTTTATACTAACTGGACTATCGGAGGGCATTTGACCGATAACAAACCGATACCTTAGATTAAATACAATTGTTTGTTCTCTTGTGTAGATGGTCATATTCGCTTACTCAATGTGGAAGTTTGGTTCCAACACCTATTAGCTAATTATTGACTTATAATCATTATGACTCAACGGTGGAGTATGGTTCTTTTAGAGAGCTCCTAAAATAACACTTTGATAGTTTTAAAAATTAAGAGCATGATTACAGATGGTCTAAATTATCTATTTGTTTATTTGCTTTTAACTTTTCATTTAAATGTTTACTTATATATTTTATTTCATTTTTTAAAAATTAAAAATTAAAAGCATGATTACAGATGGTCTAAATTCTCTATTAGTTTATTTGCTTTTAACTTTTCATTTAAATGTCTACTTATATATTTTATTTCGTTTTTTAAAATTCGTACATGGAAACAAATCTCCCAGCAGATCTTCCAATGATCCAATCCCTCAATATACCTTTTTAATTATTATTTTTCATTTCGTGAAGAATTATGTGTTAGTACAAAAAAAATTCAATTTTGAGATTATCTATAATATTTACATAATTAAATGCATGCAACACAATTATCATCTGATGATCACATATAATTATTATACACGATCACTCTTTCGACGACGGTCAAATGGTAACGTTCCGACGCTTTCTATCAATTTGATATCATTCATGTACGTGTTCGAGGCAAATTCTCTAATTTCACTCATCCATCTAGTTTACCAAATTAAATATTTTCTTTTATTATATTAATATGGGTTGCAAGTAAAAGAAGAAAAAGAAATTGAAAAAAGAAATGAAAATAATAAAAGCAAGACTTTGGAGAAGTGGTGGAACCCAAACACAAAAGGAGTCCTTCCAAGCAATTAGGGCTCTCTTCATCCTCCTCCTCCTCCATTTTCTGCAATCGGGACTAGCACAACGGCACAGAAGGAGACAGAGGAATCGGAGTCTTAGGGTTTCAAAGGAGGATCCGTTGGGTAAGTGCTTATTATATGCTTACTCTTTTGCTTCTTGAAATTGCTTGCTTGCGTAATGTGGATGCTTAATTCTGTAAATCGAGCTCACTGATCCTCGCTAGCCACTGATTTGTTGCGTTTGTATTGATGATTGGTTTTTGAGATTTTGTGTGTTGATCTAATGGTTGTAATGCAATGTATGCTCAATGGTGCTTGATTTGATAGTTGATTTGTTGTAGTGAAGTAACTGTGATTTCACGGTACGAATGTTGAAGGTGTTTGAGAAATGATATGGGCCTGTAAGATGAAAATGTGAGGTTATAGCAGGTTTTAGTGAACTGGGATTGTTTGATTTTGTTTAGTTAAAAATTACGATTGATACGGGTACTTTTGCTGTTTGCTTTAGGATTTGAAGGTTTGGATTTGAGCAGAGAGACTGTATGGACCAGGTTAGTGATGGTTGTGCCATTTTTATGGCTTCTGATCTTTGATTATTGTTTATTTTTGTATCGATAGAATTTGCTATGATTGTGATGTTTGCGGTTTTGCAGTACGAGAAAGTTGAGAAGATTGGTGAAGGAACTTATGGAGTTGTGTACAAGGCTCGTGATCGTGTCACTAATGAGACTATAGCTTTAAAGAAAATTCGCTTGGAGCAGGAAGATGAGGGAGTGCCAAGCACTGCTATACGCGAAATTTCCCTCTTGAAAGAAATGCAGCATGGGAACATTGTCAGGTATACATTTCATTGTGTATGTGGACTAATTTCATCAATTTTAGTAGTTTATGATATAATTATTGGAGTGCTAGAACAGGAAGATGAGCAAAATTTCGCTCACTGATCAAGAGATTGATGAATTTTCCCAATCTACAGCTTGAATTTACATGTTTGGGCATTCATCTTTTCTGACTAATAGAACTGCTGAAGGTATTACCTGTTGTTGAGGAGAAAAAAAGTAGACCTATCAATCTAAGACTGATCTCAAGTTAATATTTTATTTTTGGACTGCAATTATCTTTTGGTTGTATCATGTGCTTCTTCCTATTTGTATTCCCTTTTAACGGAAACTGAATCGATCAACTTTTATTTTTTTTATTTTTTTATTTTTTTGTTTTGTGTGAAAAGGATATGATTATATTGAAAACAAAGAAAAAAAAAATACAAAGAAGTTTGTCAAGAAGACCAACCCGAGCAGAAAAAAACACAACAACAGCTCAGGAAAATACTAACAGCTCCAAAGAGATGACAAAAGAAAAAATGAACCATAAAATATCTGCCTTCCAATCTAGCGAATTAAGGAGTGAAATTCCTCTAGATTATTGGCATAATGATGCCCACAATGCAGATAAAAACTGAACTTTATCCTAAACTTTCTCAAAACCGGAGAATATAGCATGACTGAGCTTGACAATCACCATTGTTTTACTTCACTCTGGGCATGTTGTTTTTCCTGGATTGTCTGAGCTTGACCAGGGAATTAGCATTTCTTTCAATGTCTAATGAACGCATGATTTCCCAGCATGAGCACCCAAAAAATAAAATAGTGCAACATAGGTCCTCTAGAGATGTTTAAAACACAATCATTCTGTTGAATTAAAAACAAACTATACTACTGAGAAAAAAAAATTTGAAATTTGGTTTGGTTTTGTAGGCATCTATCATCTTTCCTTAAAGCTTGGTTGCGTTGCAAAATTGTTTAGGTTTTACAAATACATATGGATATTGTTTGACAGGTTGCAGGATGTAGTGCACAGTGAGAAGCGCTTGTATCTGGTTTTTGAGTACCTGGACTTGGATCTGAAGAAGCATATGGATTCTACTCCTGAATTTGCAAAGGACCCTCGCCAAATAAAAGTGAGTGACTACCTTCTGCACTTTAAACTCTTTGATTCTGTGATATAGAGATTTTTACTTTTAGAAACCTCTAAATGATATAATTGGTGTTCATTTAGTAGATATGTGGTCAGAGAATAGTATTTCATATCTGGTGCAGTTTTTTAATTGTTTTTAAGAAATTTAGCTTTACGAAATAAATATATTAGGCTAGCATCTGGAAGCTTTGTATTTAGTTCCTGCTATTACTTTTTTTAATTTATTTACCTGTTCAATTCTTCTCTTAGATTGCAAAGCAGATTTCAAGTACTTTTAAAGCCCAAGTAGTGTATGCTTGTGATCCTTGATTCTAGTTTCTACTGAGGTTACCTTACTTTGGTCTATGAGTTTTCTTTTGTTATGTAATAAACTATTGAAATAATAAGCTTACAATGGAATGTAATTGGTCGTGTCCTCTTTCTGCAGATGTTTCTTTACCAGATTCTCAGAGGCATTGCTTATTGTCATTCACATAGAGTTCTTCATAGAGATCTGAAACCCCAGAATCTGCTGATAGATCGTCGTACCAATGCACTGAAGCTTGCAGATTTTGGACTGGCTAGAGCATTTGGTATTCCTGTTAGGACATTTACTCATGAGGTCTGAATGCGTCTCTAGTTGATCATGACATTTAGCTGTTTGCAGTAAAATTTGGATATTTTTCTTTTCTTTCACATTTTAATCAATAGCATTTGAATGTGAAAAAAAGATGTGGCAGTAAGCAACATCAACATGATGCAGTCACATGTACTGAAATTAAAACATTTGGGTTGTTTGATATGTTAACATCTGAGAGCTATTGGTTTGTGTGAGTGTGTGTTTTAATGTTGAAGAAAATGATTTGATTATGGTGGTTCGGCATAGGTGGTGACCCTCTGGTACAGAGCGCCAGAGATATTGCTTGGTTCTCGCCATTACTCCACCCCAGTTGATGTGTGGTCAGTGGGTTGTATATTTGCTGAGATGGTAAACCAACGGCCTTTATTTCCTGGGGACTCTGAGATTGATGAACTGTTCAAGATATTTAGGTGAAAGATTCCCAACCAAATCTATGCTTTTGTTTCCTTTTTTTTTTTGTTGTACTTTTCCTGGAAGTTATATGCATCCGGATGTCTGTAAACCATGTAATGTATTTCATCATCCTCAATGTATCCTATCCTACTCACACTGTTGCTTTTCATATGAAGAATCACGGGTACTCCAACGGAGGATACATGGCCTGGAGTGAATTCTTTGCCTGATTTTAGATCTTCCTTTCCCAAGTGGGGTGCTAAGGTAATATATTTTATGTGTGTTGCTGTCTACTCCGTTTATAAAGTTGCTATCTCCGATTGTAAAGTTGCTATCTACTCCAATTATAAAAATCGTCAACCTTTGTGTTTTTGACAATATTAAGTAAAGCATCCTTTACTTTGTAGGATTTGGCAAGTGTAGTTCCAAATCTTGATTCAGCTGGTGTTGATCTTCTCTCTGTAAGTTCAGATTAAATTTCTACACCTCAATGGGGAAAAACTGTTCATATATGTACACCTACACTGTGATTAAATTGTGGGTGTTAAGTCCTAGTTGATCCCACAAGGGTGTTTCTAATGGTATATGGGGGGAGTACGAGAGTATTTTCCGTATTTTCAAAAGAGAAATACCTTTAATAAGCCTGGAAGCAAAGTCCTATGGTTTTTGTTGTCCATTGTTGTTCTACATGATAATTAGGTATTTTCTTTTAATGGGCCAAATCCCGCAACATTACAGATTGACGAGTTGGAAGGATTTGTCAATTTCTAAGGTTTAAAGAATCCCAGTGCACATGACATCTAGAAAATTTAGAAGGAGCTTCATAGAGGAAGAAAATGAATGCTAAACACGATACAAAAGAATATATTGCACTGCGGTTTTCTATTGTTTAAGTATTTACTTTTTAATGTTCCAGAAAATGCTGTGCTTGGATCCGAGCAAAAGGATTACGGCCAGGAGCGCTCTTGAGCATGAGTACTTCAAAGATATCGCGTTTGTACCATAATGCTCCCATCTTCACATCCCGGCAGAGAATGTTTATACTATAGTGTAGCATCCTGTGAACTTTGTTTGAATGAGAATTTGTGTGTTGCTTGTGATTTTTCCTCCTCATTCCGCAGACATAGTTCCAATTCGTTGATTTGGCTTTCAGCAGATATTATTATGAATTACAGTTTGCCCTGCCCTCAGTTCTTTCCTTTACCTTTTATTTTCTCTTAATGATATACAGCTTGTAATTGACAGTTCATGTCCTGTGAGAAACAATTTTCCTTCGAGGAATATAAAAGAGAGTTTGCTTTGGGTATGTTTTCGATTTCACATGTTCAACGGAAATGAATGCGATCTCATTTTCATCTTGCTACCAAAGCAGGCTGACCCTGCGTCTGCCGGGTGTTTGTTTGGTTCCTCTGGAAATTCTGTGTTGTTTTGAACTGTTATGATTGATAGCCAAATGTGTGCCTTTGTTGTGTCATATGGTGCTGCTCCATACACTGTTTTGCTTCAAACAATGTTGAGCCAATTGTTGCCGTAGTTTCTTTGCGTACTTGAAATTTGACATTTCAACAACCTTTGTATGAAGGGTAAATTGCGATTGACCCTCTGAATTGTCACTTGAGTTGAAAATGACACTCTAAACTAGTTTTTTGGTAAATTAACCCTTTGAACTATTTAAAATCAGTCAATTTACCCCTTGTTGTTAGATTGCGGAATCAATTTCGTCAAATTTAAGGGTAAATTAGCGATTTCATTATTAATTATTACTTGACGGCTATAACAACTAAAAAAATTTTGACACATGGACACAAAATAATATAAAAACATATAGCATAATAAGAAAACATAAAATATTACATAACGGAGCATCTCACATTGTCATTATACATTATTTTGTTTTCATATGTCATAAATGTAGTGGTGGTTATAGTTGACAAATAATAATTGATGAGGGAAAGACTAATTTTCCTTTGAATTTGACGAAATAGTGGATGAAATCTACCGACATGTGGTCAATTGGCTGATTTCAAATAGTTCAGGGGGTTAATTTACCAAAAAAATAGTTCAGGAGATCAATTTCAACTGGAGTAATAGTTCAAGGGGTCAAATGACAGTTTACTCTAGTATAAACATAAAGGAATGTGTTCTCTAACCTTGTAAAATGAAGACACACTTTTAGTCTTTTATGGGGCTGTGGCAACGTGGGAATGGAAGTGATAATGGCTTAGTAAAAATGTGACATACACGTTTGAATGATGATGGTTTTTTTACATGTCTTATTTTAAGTGGATTCATCTATCGCTGTATAGTGCCACATGATGATGCGAACATGTTTTAATAAGGTAATGATAGTAATGATTTTCACAGTTCATTTTCTCTTGCTGCATTTTTCACTTTGTTTATGTGTTTTAATTCTCATTTGATTTATTCAGTCTAAAGATAAAAAAAAGAAAAAGAAAAAAAAGATTAGACTGCACGAGAAAGAAATAGTATTACAAAAATCACTTTCCTTTCCGTTACATGAAAGTGCTTATATGGTTATCTATTCTAGAGATTGCATTTAGATAATGATGGGAGCCCATAGATTTGGATCAAATGACCAAGAAAATTAAGTCAAAACATTTAAACGGTATGATTGTTAAGTTAGGCATACAAACATGTTTAGGTAAGAGCATTTACAATTCGTCCTGTCTTTGATTTGATGGAGAATCATGTCGTGAAAGGCAAGCAAGAGTAGAGAAGGTCTACCAGAAAAGGAATGAGAGGGACAAGTTTGAAGCAAAAGCAATTGCAATACGTGTATGAGAGAGTAGAATTTATATATACGAGGTGGGGGGTTTTCATTGCTGGAAGCAGATAGAGATAAAAAGGCCGATTGAGTTTGAAACTTTGCTGTGAGTGACAAACAATTCAAATGCAGAAAATGAAGAGCCTTGGGAGTAATTCCTTTGCCAGTAGTAGTGGGAGGCTGTCAACGGAGGAGAACGACGATGAGGAGATTTCGAGGCTGGCAATATCAGCGTACCAAGCTAGAGAGGAAGAGATTGAGAGGAAGAAGATGGAGGTTAAGGAGAAAGTTGAAGCTCAGTTGGGTCGCGCTGAGGAAGAAACTAGGCGTCTGACGCAGATTTGGGAAGTAGGTTCTACAAACTCTACTCTTATTTTTACTTTTTTATGCATGCGACATTGGGACCTCGGGTGTAATGGGAATGTTCTTAATTAATTGAGATGCAAGTCTTACATAAATCGATCACTTGCTGATGAAGTTATGATATATATTGCACAATCTTTACAATCTAGTAGGAGCTGGAAGTGCTGGGAGATCCCATGAGGAAGGAACTTGCAAATGTAAGGAAGAAAATCGACATGGCTAATCGAGAGCTGAAGCCGCTGGGACTGAGCTGCCAGAAGAAGGTGCATTAGGGCATGAATCTACTATATTATATATATATATATATATATGTATATGCTTGAAAAGTATATGAAAAATAAACATATTTTACTTGTCAACAAACAGGAAAAAGAATACAAAGAAGCCCTGGAAAGCTTCAATGAAAAGAACAAAGAAAAGGCTCAACTTGTAAGCACACTTATGGAGGTAATTAAACATAGTAATTAAATTATTATTAGTTAATTGTCCAGTCCACAAATTTAACTAGTATTATATGCACGGCCTTCTGCACTACTTGGAACTTGTTCTTACAATTTGTTGTAATCTGCTAATTAGCAGCTGTTGACCGAGAGTGAGAAGCTGAGGATGCAGAAGCTAGAGGAGCTGAGCAAGAACATAGAACCAACACTATGAATTTATCAGATGTAAAAGATTAAAGGCAAAAGAGGAACCTGCATTCTTGCTCAAATTTTCATGGTGTCAAGCCAGAGACTATTCAAAGTTTTATTTTAAAAGACCAATGCATGCAAGTACTAATTTTACAACATCTTAATACGACATGCATGATTTAGCAACTGATATATTTAATCAACATTAAAATCTAAATTTAGTAAATTTACATGACGTTTACACATTGCTGTATTGATAAAATTGACTAATGAGGACAAATACAAATAGAAATAACAAAGAATGTTTAATAGATAGACAGCAAGACAGAAACGGTTCGTAGAATTTACTTTTTGAAGGAGGAAGATCATGTACAAATAAATCCGCTATTCGATCGCTATCTCAATCACTCTACCTCATGAGATAATTCTGGATATGGAAGTGTTCTAGAAGAAACAACTTCCTACTCTTAAGTAGGGGTGCAAAAAAAATTCTGAAATTCTCGAACCGAACCAAAAAAAATTCTAAAACTAAACCGAAAACATCCTGAACCGAAAATCCCGAACCGTTTGATACCGATCCCAAACTAATCCCAAAAAATTCGGCATGGGATTTGGGATCCAATATGCCTTCTTTCGGTAATCTTATTCTTAACCAAAAATTATATATATATAATTTTTAATCAAATTATATCAGTAAATATACAACTCTAATTATTATAAGCTGTTGGATTCAGTTAAGATTTAATCTCAATCATTAATTTATTGTTAAAACTCTCTCCAGTCACTTGTCATCATTCTGTCTCTTTCTCTCCACTTTGCTTCGCTCTTTCTCCACCCAAACCCAAGTCTCTCTCTCGACTAGTCTCCTCCTCAGTCCTCCCACTGTGAGAGTCCCACACCATCCAAATCCATGCATGAATCACAAATCTACCACCCACACCGGTCACAAACTTTGATTCTCTTTCTCGAAAGTCCAAATTGGACTAAGTCTCTCGGTCTCAGTTTCACCATAGCAAATCCTCGCCTAGAATTCATACGACGAGACACCTCGTTCATGAAGAGGCGTCGTTTGGGCGCCACTGCCGACAATTTCTAGGACTCGAATTAATTTTTTTCCTATGGTTGATTTTTAGGGTTTGTGAAAATTGGGATTTCTGAAATTTTAATTGTTTCTAAAATTATATTTCTGCAATTGGATTTGGTTTGGATTTGTCAATTTGAATAACTTAAATTTCTGAGTATGCATGTCAATTAATCTTATCGGAAGAGGAAGGAAGCAATATGTATGAAACTTTCTCTATGAAAGGAGGGGAACACCCTTGCTTCGTAGTTGATCTATTTCCCAAATCATATAGGAATCTCGAAAGACTTTCGGGAATACCAAAATTTTGGGCCAGTTTCGGATTTTGAAATCTCGTCCCAAAAGGAATTGGTTCAGGATTCGGGCTTTGGGTTTCAGTTCGAGATCCCAATCCGAACCGGCCTTGCTCTCAAGACAAGAAGTTTTTGGTCCACTATACTAGTTTGGGTGATATGTTGAATTGGAATAAGATTATTATTGATGATGTTTCATTTTTATGGTAGCTACTGACATTAATGAAAAACAATGGTACCTAACCATGTTTTGTTGGAAAATAACAACGTAAAACAGATTGGCCAAATGGAAAGAAACAATCCAAGATTCCTTATCAAAGAGTATTTGGACATGTATTGTCAACACCACCAAATGGGTATGCATAAGGAAAAGGGATGAGATGAATGAAATGTGCTTATAAACGTTTTTGGCGCAAGACTTCTCTCATTTGCCCTGTGATTGATCATAACATTATGAATTTGGTTATAGCGTATCACCATGGGATTAGGATATGGAAATAGAATTTCGCGAGGAACTTAGACTAGTTCAAATAGTTTTAAACTATGGAACACCCTTTCAATTTGATCTAGGTGTCCAATTTCTAAGTGAGCATTTGATAAATCAGGGACATGTACCCTTTGTGTGTTCTCTAAAGTAGTCATTCTGGACTTGTTAGAGTTATAACCTATGTCGTTGACATGAATCTCATTAAGACTCTAGAAGAGCATGAGAAAGCTAACTCACAACCGATGTCATAATTTGAGATGAATGATCTAGGAAAACTCATCCATTTCTTGGCTTGAGGTTCGAGCATTATTTTGATGGTGTTCTAGTCGCCAGTCTAACTACCCATGATCATCTATATGCTAGGTGCAAAGTGAGACCTTTGAAGAGGTTGTAGAATACAAAGTTCCATATCGGAGTACAATTTGCATGATAGTTCTTACAAGGAGTTTTGATGATCTCAAGGAGAGTATTCAATAATATATTCACTTGACCTTAATGTACTCTTTTCCCTTGAATCAGGAACACTATTTCCCGTTGGGGTTTTGCTGACCTAACGTGGTTTAACAAGTCACCCACATTTGGCTGGTCATACCCTTGACATGTGCGTTTACCATCACTTGATCATCTCAAGCATCGACATTGTATTAACTCACTTTTTTTTCTTCTCC